CTTTTATAGGAGTTATTCTTAGGGGAATCTCCCTGAGAGGGCTCAAGATCATTTTTAGCTTTTAGGACCCACTGTAAAAACAAAAACTCTGGGATCTTTTACCATTGTCTCCTAATGGATTTAAGGTTGTCATAAGAGGCTTGAGGTATAGCTTAGTGGTAGAGCATATATTTAGTGTGATCGAGGGCCTAGGTTTAATCCCTTAAAAAAAATGTTGGCATAATAGATTGCAGGAAGGACCAAGCCAAAAGACAGCCCAGCTAAGACATTTCTCCTTCACAAGCATTACATGCCTCACCTCCTGGGTAAATCAGTAAATTAAATCAGCCAACATTCCAATTTGCCTGCTTTCTTTCCATTGTGGTTATGAATTCCTCATATTCATGCTCAGTGTAAGTGTATATCTCAGTAACTGTTGTCTCAAAGGGGTTGGAAATATCTGCACCCAAGGCAAATTTTAGTACTGGTTGTTAACAATATGAAGACATAAGGTGCCCACCAGATTGCTGCCAGATACACCATGCCCAAAGAGAATTAGCGACAACCAGGGCACCATCCAGGCAGCTGTCTTTGAACCCTCTTCCAGGGACTGGGCTTACAACCCCACCTCATAATTTTTTCATTAACAGACAATAAAATAAGGGACCATTTATTGCCCAAGTATCATACAAGTTGGTCAACAAGTTTGTAATTGATTCCCATGGACTTCCTCTTCATCAGGCTGCAAGGCTCTCACTGTTCTCCCCCAAAGCCATGTTTCAGTCAGTATCCCATCTTTGTTGCCAATACTGTCAAGAATCATCAAAGGGGCTGGGGATAAGCTCAAGTGGTAGAGTGCTTGCCTTGCATGCACAAGGTCCTGGGTTCAATCCCTAGTACCACACACACAAATCATCATCAGAGGTGTTTTTTTTGCAAATTTGCCTGCAATAGTTTCATGGATGCTGGTAGATACAACACTCCTGGGTCAAAGACAAAGGACAGTTTATTATGACAATAAAAGTATTCCAGTGACTCCAGATGTTGAGGCAGGAGGACTGCAAGTTTGACACTAATCTCGGCAACTTAATGAGGCCCTATATAAAACTAAAACATAAAAGGAATCTGGGGATGTGGAACAATGGTTAAGTGCCCCTGAGCTCAATCCCTGGTACCAAAAGGAAAAAAAAAAAAAGGTAGCCCGAGGACCAGCATTTTCTTGCATTGATTCAAGTCCTATTTATAATACTTCCTACAATGTAACTGCTATGTAAATAGATGCTATATTATATTGTTAAGGGAATAATGACAAGAAAAGTCTATTTGCTTAGGATAGACAAATTTTTAAAAATATTTTCTATCCACTGTTCATTGAATCTGTGGATGCAGAACCCACGGATATGGAAGGCTGACTGTATTAACCAAGTTATCCTGTTTTAAAAGCCGTCATCAGTTTACTCTTCCACCATTCTTTGTAGGAGTGAATGTCTGCTGGATTCTACATGACAAAGAAAGCTCAAATGTATCCTCCCCTTTAATGATGATCTCTGAAAAATACAGGAAAGCTGAGAAATAGGTGTTGTTAAAGATCTAGTGCACACTATCCATTCACTTACACTTATCAAGCAATTATTAGGTGTCAGGTACTAGGGCTCCAGCAATGGAGGAGTCATGTAGACATCACAACCTGGTAGAGGAAGGGCAGAAAGGTGGGAGTGTTGTTTTAGAAAGTGAGAGAGCTCTGAGGGAAGTGGTGGTGATGGGTGCACAATAGGTGCAAAGGCCCTGAGGCATGAAAGGACTTTGGCAGGTGAAAGGTATGAAGAGGCGGCCTTGTATTGCGAAGATAAAGTAAGATGTAGACCTCAAGCCCTGGTAAACTAAGAGGCTTTAAACAGCTTGGGAAGGCTACTTCACCAGATCTCCCAGGGCTGTAAAAGGCAAAAGATTTCTTGGGGTAGAGCCTGGAATAGTAGTATATAGGCAGCCAAGGAGATGCAGAGGAAGTCAAGAGGCAGAGAGGAGGGGAGGAGTAACCACCCACCGGGAAGGGCCTTTGGTCTGGGACCTTTGGTCTGGAACCGTGGGAGTTTCAACTTGCATTTCCGGGCGTTGAGGTTTTTCCATGAACACTCAATTCCATGCTGGTCCCATCACTTGGCCCCTGGGGACCAGCAGCTCAGCAGGATGACATCTCAGTATTTCCCTAGTTTCCTCAATTCTGTTCTGAAGCTGGAGGGTAGGGACAAGTCCATGATATGTGTCCTTGGATCCCAAGGCTGAGGCAGGTTGGATAGAAACATCACAAGAAACTCTGAGTCAGAGGCATCACCAGGAAGACAGCTGAAGGTTCTACCTCCTTCCAACCATCAATCCAAGTGCCATTCTTTCTACCTGGGAGAAGTCCCCAAGAGCCAACAGCCCACCCAGTCTCTGGCTTCGAAACTCGGAGCTCATTTTCTGGCTTTTCTGGAATTGGCTCACCCCTACAGGGTCACTAGGGTTGTTGCTTCTGATCATGGCCTGGTCTGAGGATTGGGAAAACAGCAAATGACAGGTTTGGGTCTTGCTCTGTCTCTAGCTAATTGAGTCATGACCTTAGCCAGTCACTGCCCCTCTCTGGGCCCCAGTCTCCTCCTTGGACTAGACAAGTGACTTCCCAACTTTCAACATATTTCATGGAATACCAGTGTTACATCAAAACACTCTGTGGCCAAATAATGATGAATGGGGTCCCCCATCAAAAAATGATGAATGTAGAGCCTCATTTTTACATCCTAAATCTCCCAGAGGGTACTGTAGCCTGCTGTGGTTGCCAAGCTGGTCTAATCGGGGCACCCTGTTTTATAACTTCTCACCATTGGCACTATGAAGAAGATACCCCAGGATGAGCTAGACAAGAGTCTTTGTAGGGGCATACTTAGTTCTCTCCTGAAATTTAATCTGTAGAAATAACCATTGACCGTGACATCCAATGACCCTTGCCTCCTGGTATTTGTGCCCTTTGTCATCTCCAGTGCATGCTAGATTCATTTCTTTTTCTTTCTTTCAACTGTATTCTCTGTTTAATACCTTGTGGATCTCAGCAGATACTCTGCTGGGTGAGTCCATGAATATAAAAGATTTCTGATAAGGTAGAGCTAATTGAATTCTGGCCTCTCCATCCAACAAGCCACTTGGGAACCCTCTGGTAGCCACTGACTCTGTGCCAGAGTCATTTCATTTCATAAAAAGACAAGGACACACAGGTGCTTAGAGTCAAGGCCAATGACCTCTGTTATGTTGGAGATAATCTAGGGACCAATGATTCATTTATAATAAGTAGAATTCTACAGAAGTGAGGATGTCGTCTCCCAAGATTAGGTTAAAGACTATGGCTTCTATCCTTCCAGCATTCTTGGGCTCACCTTCCCATGTCACCCGCTGCTATGCTATGAGGACACTCAGGAAGCCTATGGCTGGCATCCCTATGAGCGAGCTCCAGCCCCACTCTAGCCTTGAGAGCACTGTACTCCCGGCCACCAGTTTGACTGAAACATCAAAAGAAACCCTGAGCCAGAGGTGCTACCTCAGCTGTACCCAGATTCCTGACCCACGGAAATTGAGAAAATTTTTTTCCCCTTTTTGTCCCACGGATTGAACCCAGGGGCACTTAACCATCGAGCTATGTTCCCAGCCCTTTCTTTTTATTTTATTTAAAGACAAGGTCTAGCAGAGTTGCTTAGGGCCTTACCAAGTTGCTGAGGCTGGCTTTGAACTCCTCCTGCCTCAGCCTCCTGAGCCCCTGGGATCACAGGCCTGCTTCACCATGCCTGGCTGTTTGTTGTTTTAAACTGCTAAGTTTGGGAGATAATTTGTCATACAGCAATGGAAAGCTAACAAAATTGTACAGTACCTTCTACAACCAGTGTGTGATGGATTCTATTAAAACTGATCATTGTATGTGTAATGTTGAAACCTACTTGTTTTGTGACACGCTTCCCTCTCCCTGGCACTGAATGTCCAGTGTCCACTGGTGGCATCGTCCACTGATCGATCCCCAATGTCCTCCTAGGGGTACTGGGTATAAGAGGGAGGTAGCCTCAAAAGATAGTGAATAGACAGGAAGTTCACATAGCAACTGGGCAAGGAGGTGCCACGCTCTACCAAAAACCAGTCTGAACAATAGAGTAGCAAGGTGGGGTGGTGTGTCCTCTCATCTCTGGGTACTGACCCCTGGTTTTACAGCTTGGGCTCAGATTCTGCCCTGGACCAGCCCATTAGTTCCCAATGGAACCTCATATTAGAATCCTTGGTTTTTGTTCTCACTGCCCACCCCCATACCCCATATGCTCTGTGCAGCCAACTACACCCAGGCCGTACCATCCTATCTTCTTTTGCCATTCCTGCCCCAATACCTCCCACATTCTGTTAACTGAATTTGGTGGCCACTCAGAGCCCATAAACCAACAAATACCCATTCAGGATGGGGCCTCTTCCTCTAGAGTGAGCTGAGGATTCATGCTCAAGTGCAGAAAAGAGCAAGCTCACTACCATTGTCTACCCGGTATGCTGCCTGGCATATTCTAGTTAGGTACCCCATAGATGATAGCTCATACTGCTTCCTTAAATGGTCAGCTCAAATGAAAGTGTGAGTACAGGGCTGCTCTGTGGTTTGAAGCAAAGAGCCCAAGATCTTGGTCAGGGTGTCTATTAATATATCTTTTCAATGTGAGGGGTGGGAGGGACAAATAGCAGTCAGGAAAGGCATTAGGTAGGAGACCTGGGCATATTGAAAAAGCTGGCTATGGCTCCATCAGCCCCCTCAAGGGCCTAGGACAGCTCTGAGGATGCCAGATTTACCAAACACTTCCCTTTTCAGAAGTGGAATTTTAAAATGAAATTATTAAATGAATCCTAGAAGAACCCACTATCTGGCCAATAAGTGGAGGCTGGAAATGGAGGGTACAGGGAGGGTTGGAGACAGGAATTCTGCAGATTAACACAGCTTCTCAGAAAGGCCAGCCAAGGGCTGTCACCACTGTGCAGTGAGAATAATGTTTATTGAGAATGGCTCATTACAAACAAAATATATTTATGTATAAAAATCTCTGCAATGCAAAAGATCCCTTTCGTCCCCCTGCAGCTAGAGTGAACAAAGCTGCCTACTGTTCCACTGGCTTCAGAAGCTGCATTGGGCTGAAGCATGAGAACAGGCTGGGCAATTGTGGGTGCCACGTGCTGTGGGCAACGTCCCTGATGTCCAGGCTCTTTTCTCAGCCCCAATGTCATGACTTGTGCAAGAATGCAACACAGTGTAGCTGATGTCCTGCCTCCGTGACCTTCCTCAGAGAGACTGGTCTTGGGGACAAACAACTTGTTAATCTTACAGACAGGTGACCTCTAACATGTGACTTACCCTGAGAAGCCATTGTCTGAGCCCAGAGACTGAGCATGTCCCGGATGGATGAGGTGCTGTGATCACTTTCTGTGAAGGATAATCCCCATAACAGCTCACCACCATGTGTGCTATTCCTCATTCATATGCAGTCATCATGAAAACTTAACTTCTTCCCATCGGTTTCCTTCATTCAGCTATTCTCACCACAATTTTACCTAAACCTCTCCTGAGGACACCCATACCCCACAGCTGCTGTGTATGGTACTCCTGAGCTTGGAGCCAGAGTTCCCTAGGACCTTGGGACACCCAGCATTAAGGCAATAGAAATGAGACCAGACTAAAGCCAACACCAGTCTCTGAAACCCAGGATGGCTGCCTTGCAAATAGTGCTACCCTCTCGGCCCAAAGCTGTCTGGTGTTAAGGAGCAAGGTGGCTGGGTGGTCTCACAGAACTGGTAAGCAGACTCTTCCTCCACCCCTCAGAACTACCATGGTGAGGGAGGGGCCAGCTAGAGTCGGTGTGGGAGAAGCAGCTGCCACCACGTCACACCTGAGAAGCAGCTGCCACCACGTCACACCTTGGGCACTGGAAGACCAAGCCCTAGGAGTGCAGGGATGGTGGGGCTGTCAGGGTATCCCTGTCTTTTTGCCAGAGGCAGCCATGAAGGGCTCTTGAGTTCAAGACCCAGCTCTACTACTGTCCTGGGCCAACTTCCTCCTCAAGTAAGGCAAGGGGCCTGGTGCTCAGACTTTAAAAAAGAAATCTGGCTGGCTTACCTGCCCTGTGAAAAAAAGAGGTGTTAGTGGTTCCAAAGTACCTGCAATCTCACTATTATTCTTACTTAAAGGTGATAATCACCCAGCAAAAGTAAAAACTTAAATTTCAATAAAAAAAAACACCTCTGCTCCCAACAACAACAAAAATTTAAAAAGGGGTGAGGGGAGGAAAGAAGGAAATAATGAAGGAAGAAACCAGCTCCAGTCAATGCTACTTGCTGTGCTGTGTGATCCTGGGCAGTCATCACCATTCTCTGTCAAGACAGAAGAGATCCAACATTCTGTGCAAAAGGTCCTGGCATGAAAACCAGTGTGGGTTGGAGACTACAGACTGTCCCCTGCCCGTTGCTTCATAAGTAGAGGCTCTACCACCTAGCTCCGACAGACCTGGGGTTGCCCACACCCAGAGGACAAATGGTCCCTCCTTTTGGGATTTAGGCTGGTGTCAGGAGGCCTCATGGGTGAGGAGGGCTCTTTGGGATCCAGGTAGCTGTTTATTCCTGGGGTACACTCTCTGCTGGTGCCCAGCACACTCCCTAGGGCCTTCCTCCCTACAGAGCCAAATGGCTATGAGGTGTCTACACTGCATGATAGGGGCCAGTGGCCTCATAACCAGTCAGATACTTGGGCCCACTGGAAGGCAGGAGGTGGTAGTAATGGCATCTACCATGGGTTACAGGGGGCTCTGTAGCACTTCCAGAAGATTGGGTTTGGAGTGCTCCAGCTCTAGGGACTTGAATTCAGCTACACTTTCCAAACATGCAGATGCTGTCCTGATGAGTAGCATCAGATCAAGTGACTTCTCTCTCCAAGACTCAGTCCTAAGGTCTATGGGAAGACTGCCTCAGGCCTCTCCCCTCACCTTGGGTCTGGCTAGAAGGCAACAAGGGCATCCTTGAAGCTAGACTTCCAATGGGCATTGTTGGAGTTAGGCTTGTCATCCTGGGGGAGACTCCCCTCAGAACTCTGGAGAAGCCTTCAGGAGCCCCCAGATGCTTGGGGTAAATGACAACATATAGCACTAGCTGACAAAGCAGCTACGCCAGTTCCCAGAGTTCCCCAGAGCCTTGTCAGACAGGCTGAAGCTGCAGTGTTGCATTCCAGCCCCAGCAGCCCCCAACTTGGGCATACTGATTAGGTCTGGCTAAAGTTGGGGGTTGGGGTCCAAGGATCTGGGCACAACAGGCTCCTGCTGTCAGCTGTCCAGGTAGACAAAGAGGATGTCCTCATCTGTGCCGTAGCTGGTTCTGGCCTCCTCAAAGTTACTGACACTGGTGCTGCACATTCCTGCTGGGAGTGGGGAGAGCAGAGTGGGATCAGTAGGTGGGGAGAGAGCAACCAACCTACCAGTGCCCAGGGAAGTTGGGTGAGGTCTACATCCCATCTGCCGGGCCACACCTCTTGGCTCAAGTCCTCCACCCCCAGGAAGCCTTCCTTGCCTATTCTGGCCCTCATGAACTCTTTCTCTGACCCTTCCTCAGTATAGCATATGGAGAAAGCAAAGCCCAGAGAAAGGAAAAAACATGCTCCAGGACACATGGACAGGTCAGGAAAGTCTGTCCCTGTACCCTGAGGGTAGTAGGTAACATAAAACAAGGGTGAGGTTGGACAGACTTTCTAATAAGTGTACTGGTTGTCCTGGAAGGATGGAGTGGAGACTGCAGCCTGCGCAACATAAGTTATTGAGGCAGGGACCTGAGCAGTGGAGTGGAAAAGAGGGGTGGCCAGAGGCCAGCACTGGTGCAAGTTTGTGGCTAGTTTGCTTACATGGTAAAAGGGGTAGCCCCGATGACAAGAGCCCAGGAGTAGTAGAGGCCTTGGGGAAAAGGCAGCAAGGGAGATTGTGGTCATACCAGGCTGGATAGGAGGAAGTTGTGGGAGCCGGGCATAGGGGACAGAGAATGCATACCGCCTTGGCCCACCCTGACCCCAGCACTCACGGTCAGCATAGGCTGGGTTGTTGTAGAAAATACAGCCGGTGGCCCTGTTGTAACCACGCAGAACAATGAAGTGGCCCTGGTAGTCAGGGGTACGGCAGAAGCAGCGATGGCCACTGGGTGCAAAGCAGCAGTACTTGACGGGGCTAGAGCACAGGTCGCAGTGTAGCACCCCTGAGTTCACGAGCACGATGGCCACATGGCCCTGCGCCAGATGCGCCTGGATGTCCTGCACACTCACTGTGCTGTGGGCAGAAGGGAGTCAGTTGGTGCCAATGGGCTCTATTCCCCATCTCAACTGGATAGATCCCTGCTTACATCCCCGTTACCCTATGTTACGAAACTTGGGGACCTGACTTGTCTTCCCTCTGCCCTGAATTTCTTGTACATGGAACATCCTTGCTTATCATATTGGCCCAGGTTAGGCACAGGGCCTACACAGGACCAGTGTGTGTATGTTGTTAGCAGAGTTCTGAGAGTACAAGGACCAGCTGGCCCTTCAGGAAGGGAAGTCAGAAGGTCAATTCCAGATGGGCACAACTGAGGGCCACTAAACAGTTTATGGAACCTCACTCCTGGTATGGTAGATATTTTGCCAAGTCCCCATTTCTACTTTCCCACAAATCCTATGTGGTTTACATTGGAAATTACTAGCCCAATTTAATTCCCCAAATCCGAGCAGAGCCTGGCTTGGCCACATTCAAAACCAATTGTTTTTCTAAAAGGGCTATTTTCCCCTTTTTCCAAGGCTTCTGTGGCAGAAGGAATCACTCAGAAAGCACTTATAGGGGAATGCTATAAGTTAACTCTGTAAGCACAATGTCTGGAGCTGTGCCATAGGCAGACTCATAGAAGTGGCCCCATTCTGTGTCTTCCAGCAGACAGCAAATCTAAACAAAAACCCAGAAGGGACAGAAGGGGCTTGGGGCCCTTAAGCCAAGGGCTCCCCGAAATTTTCTGAAGGGGCTGCTCACCACTCGGGGCCCTCCTTCATTAATCAGCTCCTCAGGAGTGGCAGCATCAGCACCACGAGGTCTGGCCCAACTCTAGCCTCAGCTGAGTCACGTGGCAGTTTGGTTTGCTGCCTTGGCCGGTGAAACATGCCATTTTTCCATTTAGTCTCTGAAACAAAATAGCTGGCAGAGTTCCTACTGGTGTGTACAAGAGGAGGGGAATTTCAGCTATGGGAGAAAAGCAGGAACATGCTAGATCGAAAAGTTGCAGCTCTGTAGAATTATGAGTGTAGAAATGCTGGGTTCAGATCACAGCATAGCCAAAATGCTGGGGGAACCGTGCACTGGTAGGTCTCTCCCAGCCTCATTTTCCTCCTGAGAAATGGGGCGGCAACAGCTTCCCTGCTCAATAAAACAGTGCCTATCAAGTGCCCTAAAAAACGTTTGCTGCCTTTACTTCCATCAGGCAGTCATGTGGCCAGAGGATAAGTAGAGATTTATCTTCCCATTTTCCAAATTATCAGGTGGTTAATAATAAAAACATAATTTTATAAAGAAAGAGTAAACCTGAGAAGAATGGAAGTGTAGCCTCTAAGCAAGTCTGGAGAATGCTACCCACATCTGGGCAAGTTGCCCCCAGGGTCTGCTTGAATCCAGCCCACCCCCACACATGGATGAGAAGGGAGAGGTCCATGTAAGGTCACAGCAGGGGAACAAGCTTCCCAGACAGTCTATACATGTGGCCTTCCCTGCTCCTGTCTCTGTCCACTGTCAATCGCCCTGCCACCACATTACTCAGCGGTCCTTCCTTTTTTAGGGCTTCTATGTTTTGTTTCATGCCATTATCCTATGAACAGTCCAAGAGCTGATCACAGCCTGTATCACTCACTTTTCCCTCCAGTACCTGCTCAGGATCCACTCTAGACCAGAGTCTAGGATATATAGCTCCACTGACCCCCATTTTAAGGATGGAAAAAACAAAGCACAGAGGGGAAAATTACTGCCCAGGTAGGAGACACTAGTTCTGCCTAACTCTAGAGCCCCAGCCTTTCCCAAACACTATCCTGAGATCTCCCTCACTACCAACCTCACCAGAGGTAACTGGTCATGGTGGGGTGAGAAGCACTCACCATTTTTCCACAAGCACCTTGCAGGCCTTAGCTTCTGCAAACAGCTGGTTCACCCGGGTTTCCTCTGTATCAAAGTGCTTCCTGTAAAAGGACTAAAGAGAGAAGGGCAGTCCACTTGGCTACTCTCACTCCATATGGTTAAAGCAAAGAGCGTGTTATAGAAGGAGGGGATGTGGGAGGGCAGAGAAGCTCCGTTGTGGGGCAGGCTGCACATGCAGCACACCCAGTCTGTCCCAGGCTAGGGAGTACACAGGACCAGAGGCATTATCAAGATGGGTGGGCAGCTGGGCTCAGCCAGCTCCCTGGGGAAGACTGGTCACCCTATGGCAGGCATAAGCAAGAGCTCAAAGCAAAAGGGTAAGGTGGGGTCTGAGGCTGAGCCATAGCTCAGCTTATCCAGGCATGGTTCATGGAACAGCCTTTGTTTGGTGCAAGTACCTTAAGGTAACCAGAGCCTCCATGGGGGAGGCTAAAAAGACCCTGTTCTTAAGCCTCTTTCTCCGCCTCAACCAGACTAGATTCATTAGCCTTCTTCCTTTGACCAAGAAGGTTCAAAGGAAAGTTAAGTTGATTGGCAACTGCCACCATGTCACAGCCCTTTTGCTAACTAGCCAGCACTGACTTCGCTCTGCCATGTTTTGGAGTCTGGGCCACGAACTTTTGTAAGAAAGGCTTTAACTTTGCAGGGAAACAGAATACACTGACGTGTGGGCTCAGCTGTCAATGTTGGCATTACTTTCAATAGGAAAAAAGGAAAGACAATATTCGTTTTTCTTCAAGAATACCAATTACTCAGCTTAGAACTGGCTGCCCTGGTGAGAAGGAAGAAAATGGGCAAATGAGGGTTACATGAAATCAGAGTGATGTTCCTGGAGGCCCTGGGCCGGCCTTGTGCTGGAGGACAGTAGAGAAGAATGAAGGAAGGTAAATGCTCCTCTGCACATCCTCTGAGTGTCATAGAAGGTAGGCAGGAGCCAGGACTCAGTGATTAGGTACTCCACGCAGGCTGGACCTCATGGTCACCTGCTCAATGTGGCTGGTAAATCCTTTCTATAGCCCATCTGCCACTGTCCCTGGTCTCTGCACACCTATGTCCCACCAGATGTCCAGGCCTTGACAGCTCTCTCTTCTAACTACTACAACTGGGTGGCCTATGCCTCTATGTGGCCTCAAATGAGAAGGCCCATCCAGGTGTGGTGGCTTACCTGGTTTTTATAACCCTTGTCGACGCCCAGGGTCTGGGTACAGAAGCGGTGCCTCACACCAAAGTGGCGCATCAAGTAGGCCAGATCAATGGTCCAGATACTTCTGGTTAGGCGCAGCTCCTGCAGGGCACTCTCAAACTCTCCATCGTCCAGCTGGCCCAGGTATCTACAAGCAGAGAGGCCAAGAAGCTCAGCTTCAAGGTGGAACTAGGTCACAGGTGGAACTAGGTCATACTCCATTACTGGGTCTATAGCAACTGTTGCTTCTGCTCCCCAAAAGGCTCTGTCCTTTATCATGAAACCCTATACCTGCCCACATGCTGCCTGAACACAACCTGAAGACTATCAGGGCTAAGGCTACCTGGGGCACTGTTCTGGCTCTGGAGTCAAGGACCTAGATTTTGCTTCTTGTGTTTCTTGCAGGCTGTGTGATCTTGGGCAAGTTACTATCCTCTATGGCTACATTGATTCTAGGCCTTTGTATCACATTAGTGCTTTGTTTTGTAAAGGTTATTTTTGGTGGTACTGGCCATCAAACCAAAGGCCTCACTCATGCTAGGCAAGTGCTCTACATCTGAGCTATACCCGCAGCCTGCAAATCAGTGGTTTTCAAAGTGTTAGGCACTGAACCTTTTGTTGAATCCTATCTTTCCCACAATTCCAGAATGTAAAACTGAAACAGATAAGGGAGAGGCAGATCTAGGGTTCCAGGCAGCTGACTGAAAACTCTTGTACAAGAAGATGGCTATAGTCTCTTCTGGTTCTGATTGTCAAGGGTCCTATAATATTCATTCAGCCTCAGCTCAGCAGACTCCCAGAAGCCTGAGGTTAGGAGCATAGAGGATTCCCTATACCAGTTATGGGCTGCTCTGTGGGCTAGGCGAAGGCCCCTGGAACATCTCTGGCCATCCCAAATTCCTAGGCATTACCAGAGTAGAGATCTGGGTGACCTGATCCACCCTTTGCTCACTTTTGTAAACAGGACAGGGACCAAATGGAAGATAGGCTTCTTACAACCTCAGCCAAAGGTGGTCACAGAGAAGATGAATCCCACCCAGGTGTCTTCCCATGTCTCCCTCAAACCATAGTAGTTGGTGAATAGGGAGGGCGTAGGCCCCTCCACTCACCGAAGCACCATCCTAGAGCAGGCTAGGCCGCAGTCCCAGTGGTAGAGCTGCTGGATGATGGGCACAGGCAGCTGCACAAAGTCCCCTGCATGGAACAGAGGAAGGTTTTAACTCTACTACCATTCCCTGTGGAGACACAGTCATCACCTCCTACCTAGATCCTGTGGGGGCTCAGAAGATTTCCCACAGTCCTTCATTCTTACAATACCAGTGATCTCCCCCAAACACCAGCCACAGCAGGTTAGCCCTACTCAAAATCTTCCAGTGAATTGGTTCCCATGTCTCTTAGGACAATTTCTCTGTGGCTATTGTCCTAGCACCTTCAGCTTCTTCCCCATCATAAGGCTGTCCTTCAGGCAGAACCTGTAACTGTCATAATCCCTCTTACCTGGGGTCCTTTGCACACGCGGTTCTTCTGCCTAGATGCTCCTGGCTTCTGAAGAGCTAACTTCTGCCCCTGAACCTCCCTTTTCTAAGGTACTGCCCCTTTAAGACCTGGCCCCCACCATGTATACTCACATCATCCCATGTCTCTCCCTCACAGCCCTTCTTTGGGGAGGATCTCTGAGGCAGGAGTAGGGCTGTTTTACTTCCTGCTTTCAGACCAGATGGCAAATGGGAGGTACCTAGCACATACAAATTCGTGGGACACCAGGAGGCTTACCTGATTCCAAAGGCACTAGGACAACCAACACATGAAAGTCAGTAAGAAGGGGACTGCTGAATAAGCTGTATATGTGGACTGCTTCTGAAAGCTTCTCTAACACTGTCACTGAGCAACCTCACAGTTTGTCCTTGCCAGGTTGTGAGATGAAGCAAAAAAAAAGGCCTGACCTAGGCATTCTAGTCCTGACTCTACCACTGGCTGGCTGTGAGCTAGACAATGGACTTCCTCTTACTAAACTGAGTTTGGCCAACCCTAAAGTGGGGACTTTGGTCTGATTTGGTCATTCAGTTGACAAATATTTTCCAAGAACCTGATTAAGTGCTTGGCATCTGTACTATAGTAAAGTGGTGAGTGACATAGGCAAGGTCCCTGTCTTGGTAGACAGCAATAACAAATAAAAAAGACAATCAGCAGACTAATCTAGGAAAATGGTGTGCCTCAAAGATGTGACAATCAGGGAGCACAGGCAGACAGGAAACATCATGTGCTGAGGCCCTGAGGTGAGGGCAAGCTGGCACACATGGCATTTAGGACCTTCCCACTTGGCTAGCCCATGAATCTGGATGAAGTTCAGAGTCTAAAGAACTGGGGGTGGGGGTGGGGGTGGGGGCTGGGGATATAGCTCAGTGGTAGAACACTAGCATGCATAAGGCCCTTTGTTCAATTCCAGCACTACACTACCACCCCCCAAAAAATCCTAAAAAGAAAGTTCTCTATCCTGGTCACTGCTCAGTACTCTCTCATGATATCTATTCAGTATATGGAAATCCAGCCCATCTACTTCGCCATTTTGAAGGGGTTTCTGGAGCCTCCTGGGTCACATGACTGGTTCTGTGCAGAGCCTGCCAGACATGCCAGCCCCACTTCCTGTTCCTCTGCATGTGCCACTCAGGAAGGCCACCCACCAGCAGTGGAGTTTGTCATGACCCTTCCAAGCTCCTACACTCTTATGACTAACATTCTCTAGCTTCTAGGGCTTGGCTCAGAGGCCACTGCTTCTAGGGCCTTTTCCAATCTTAGGCTGTCTGTGTCCTGTCCCTTATGTTTACTCCTGAGTTCATGCTTAGGTTCATAAGATGCAACTCTTGAATGATGCTTTGTCTGTGTCTGGGTCCTGGTAGACTGTTTGTATGTTCCCAGGAGAAGGAGACCTGTGATTGCTACTGGCCACGCTTTACCTTGAAGGGTGTGCAATAAGGCCAGTAAAGGCAGGATGGCATAGGTGAGGAAGACAACCTGCTTGTTGAGCCACCTGACTTCTCTGTGCCTGCTTATTCCTCTATGAAATGAATCATTGCAGATGTAGCCTACAGGGTACCACTCAAGGCAACAGTATGCATAGAACCCTGCCTCTCAGCCAGGGACTGGTACACTGAACCCAGGCATGACTGAGGCTTTGTCCTCTTCCCCAGGTGCCTCGTAAAAGAACCAAGGCCTTCATCCAAGGCCCTCACATATTTGTCTTGTACCACTGCCATGGATTCAGTCCTACCTGTCCTTTGACCCAAATTCTACTCACATTCTGTCTCTGCATACAGCAGACTAATGAATCTCATCCAACTTTCCATTGCTCTTAGAATAAAATTCTCACCTCTTAGCAGGACCCAATCTTGGCCCACTAGACTTACCTCAACCCTGACCTGTACACTGTTTGATCTGTAAACTCAGCAGATTTCATTCTACCCCAGGGCCTCTGTATGTCTGGCACCCTGTCTGGAAATCTCTTCCCCCGGTGCTGTTGTCATTTAAGTGCCAGCTCAGAATCTCCTAAGAGGTTTTTCCTGATTATACCTTTGAGGGGTAAGGGGCCCCATTAATGACATCCTGTTTCTTTGAGTGCTTAGTAACAACAAAAGAAGCTACTGTTGCCCCACTGGACTATAAGCTTCTTAAGGCAGATACTATGGTCTGAATGTGTCCCCCCCCAAAAAACACTGCGATGGTATCAAGAGGCGAGGACTTTGGGTACACAATGAGTGGATTAGTGCCTTATAAAAGGGTCAGAGGGAACTAGCTTATATCTCCCTCAACCCTTCTGATCTGTTATGTGAGGACACAGCATTCGTCCCCTTTTCTTCCCTTCCTGCCATGTGAGGACACCGAGACAGAGCTATTTATGAGGAATGGGCCTATCAGACACTGAGCCTGCTAGCACCTTCATCATGGACTTCCCAGTCTCAAGAACTATAAGAAAATAAATTTCTATTGTTTATAAACTACTCAGTCTCAATATTTTGTTATAGCAACACAAATGGACTAAGATAGCAAGGAACCTGCTCTTCTTGTTTGCTGTTTTCCCAGTACCTGGTATCTGATGCTTAATAACAACTCTAAGTTAGTACTTACTGGAAAAAAAAAAAAAAAAAGAGTTATTAAGCATTTGCTGTGTACAAGGCTCTTGGCACAAAAATGTGACTAAAAAGACCCAAATCCTTGGGGCTGGGGATGTGGCTCAAGCCGTAGCGCGCTCGCCTGGCATGCGTGCGGCCTGGGTTCGATCCTCAGCACCACATACAAACAAAGATGTTGTGTCTGCCGAGAACTAAAAAATAAATATTAAAAAAAAAAAAAAGACCCAAATCCTGATCTCCAGAGACTTATATTCTAAAACAGTTCCACACAACAGACTGGCTAGAGAGGGAGTTCTCTGCAGGATGTGGTGTTATAATGATATACCAGTATCTTCCCTTTTCAGAACCCCTGTGACTATAACAGCCTTTCTGTTTTTGTTTATTCAGGCTGATTATTCTCCAGCCTCTGCTCTGGTATAACCTTTAGTCTGAAAGTCCAAATTTCTGTTTCCTGTACCTCCCAAGGTCTGTCAATGTGGAGTCCTTGAGGTGGCATCTATTTTCCCCCTGGACAGAGAATTCTGTGGTGTCAAGTAAGAACAGAGTTGAATTGCTCTCTCCCAGCCCTCAAACATGTTTGGTGAATACAAGTTTTCCAAAAAGGCCTTACTCTTTGAGACACCCAAGCCTACTTGTTATTGTAGTGCCCCTGCCCCAGGTTTCCAGTCTACAGTCCTTTGTTGAAGACTCCCTTCTTACTCTGTGGCCTGGGCTCTGGCATTGACTAGCTGGGCCATCTTGTGCCCAGCTATAAAATGTGGTACAGGATACTTGCTTTCTTGGACCCTGGGAGACTCAGTTGCTCTTCCTCTTCTTGCCCTGAGCCCTGGAACCCCTTGATCCTGGAGCCCCATGGAGCAAAACATCTCCAAATGGCCATCCTAGTCTTGGCACAGGCAGGTCAGCCCATATGAAGATGTTCCTGTAGGGGGTGATAAGGGTAAGGCAAGGCCTTGACATTTGTCCTGATAACAGCTTTAGCTTTCAGAAACCAAAGCAGCTGCCAGATATTGATGCCTGGAGTCAAGAGACAACCCCACCTGAGACCTAGAGTCTGCCTGGAAGGCCCTGGTCTGGCTTTAAGTTGTTGGCTGTCACTAAGAAATAAAGGCTGTCTACTGTCCTTGGTCACTTAACCTCTCTGGACCTCAGTCTGTGCCTTTACAAAAGGGCAAACAACAGTGGTCGCCTATTTTACCCAGTTGCTATGAGGAGTAATGAGGCACCACATATAAACAATTTAGCAAAATGCCTGCGGCAAGAAAGCTCCCTATGAATGTGAGCCATTACCCCACTAAGACTCAGGAAAGAAAGTATCTCAGTAAAAGACCACAGAGTTAGATAATTGGAAGACTAGCGATGTAAACTCCAGTATAATGTTCAGATTCTATTCCATGCTGCAATCACAAAAAATAGACCAGTCCCTGGGTGTGATGTGCCAACGTTCCCTAACATCTTAGGCTCTGGGTCCCCCATACTCTTGACCTCTCTCCTAAGTTGGCATCTCACTTGTTTACTAACATCAGCCTTGTCTGTATCTTAAGCAAAGCAGGAATCATGGCTACCTCCTTACCCCCATTCTTGGACAATCAAAGGGATTCTAGCTTCCTCAAAGCAGAATGAACCACAGTGAAAAAGACAGGTCGTTGAGTCTGGGAGCCAGGGAAAAGGGCCTTCCCATTGCTGGACAGACACTCTCTCGGGCAGCTGCCTCCCCTTATTGGTCTCAGTTCCGACAGTTCCCCCGTGGAGAAGGGACCTCCCAAGGCAGCTCCAACAGGACCTTTCGCTTCTGACCGCTATCAGAAGTAACTGGGGTCCTAGCCCTGGGAGTATCAGTAAAACACAAATGAACACAAGTGTGGGGGAGGGAGGCGAGGCGCGAGAGTCCACCTGGCCAGGTTTCGCTCCAAGCTCCACACAGCCTGGGCTGGGACGACAGTCGGCCCAAGGTCGCGCGGCCAGACCCTGCGCTGCGCTAGGGCGGTGTCCCCCTTGGTCCCCAGGGTGAGGGCTTGGCCCTCACAGAGGCACTGACCGGGCTCGAGCTGCGACCCCGCCGCCTCCGCCTCCGTCCTCATGACCCCGGCGGCGCGGGGCGCCCATGGCCCCGGCCCGGCGCGGGCTGTAGCTTCGGCTTCTGCTGGGCCAGGAGCGCGGCCGGTGCGTGTCGAGTTCCTCGGTCGCCGCCGTGGTAGGGAGAAGGGGAGGCGGCGGCCGGACCGCCTCAAACCCCGCCCTAGCTGTCTCAGGTCTGGAATCCCGAGGCCCCGCCCTTCCCTTCCCTTTCCCAGACTTGGGTTCCTAGAGGCCCCAGCCACCAGATTTAAGCCCGCCCCCGCCATTCGCAGTCCGGGTTTCCGATGGTCCCTCCCCCTTGTCCAATCCTTATGCTAACGTGACGCGTTTTCCGGAAGCTCCGCCCCTTTCCCTGAGCCCCGCCCGGAAGCCCCGGCGTACTGCAAACATTGGCTTTTCAGAGGCTCTTCCCCTTAAGAAATTCCGCCAGCCTTCAGGGCCTGTCCTTTGCAGCTTCAGGTGTTAGCTCTAGTCCCGCCTTACACTTGGCGGAGGCTCCAGGCATCCTTTCTCCGGCTCCCTTTAGGGATTTTCCCGGGGCGGCCCCCCTACACTTCATTTCTCTGTACAGTGACATACCTCGCCTTGCTCAGCCGCCCTCACCAGGCGGTGACGTGATCCAAAGGTTAAATTGTGAGGCGAGATCCTGGCCCTCGGCACCACTTCCTGTCGCCCCCGATCCGAGGTCCCAGGCCCCAGATACCCGCCTTGCTGTCCAGCTTGCCCTTTGTGTGAAGTGCTTGGAAGTGCGAGCATTCCTGTCCCCTTGCCGGCTCCAGGGTCGGTGTTTCCCTCAACCCCTGGGCCTGTCATCAACTCACTCTCTTCCGGCGCCGGAACTGTGGTACCTTAGTCCACGTTTTCCAGCCGGCGGGGTGAAGAGGAAGCGGAGACTAGACCGCGCCCATCAATAAGGAAAGGAAAGGGCGGGTCATGCGCGCGGCATTTTGGGAACCCGTGGTATTCTGGGAACGTGGTTGCCGCCATTCGCTTTCCTCACGCCTTTGCAGTCGCGTCAATTTTAGCCACATCTTAGAGAAGGAGGAGTAGGCCGCCGCAGGTGAGGAGAGACCGAGGATGGGTGAGGGGAGGCCGAGGCACTTGTGAGGGCTGGACGTCGGAGAAGGATACGCTGCCCCGGAGCTCAGCCGGAATAAGGGAGGGAGGGAGGAGAGCGGGAAGCGGGGCCCCGCTCCATCATATTATTAGCACTTGGAATAGTTAATCACTAACTGTTCCCCAAAGTAGGTGATTTTCACTTCCTATGCTTCTACAGGTCATTGTTTTCCGAAATATCCAGTAAATCTTGGAATCACTTCTGCCTAATCATTTTCTTCCCCGAAGTCCTGTTTGGGTTATCCTTTTCAAAGGTCTTTGCATTTCTGCCTCTTTCTTGCAGTGCTTTCCAGACTGCTCTAGAAGGTGTAACGAGTTTTTCTGCTTTTAAGCTGTATATTCGAATCATTTTATAAGTGCTGTTGTTTTTTCATTATGTATTTTCTTATGTATAAACCTGTAGTTTCCTGTTGTTATAATACAAATTCCTAAAGCTGAAAGCCATGAGTTCTCACTAAGGCATTCTCTTTACCCATCTACCTTCTTTGTCTCTTGAACACATGGTATGTGTTCCACATTTGAGTCATTGAGTCATCTCACTAAAATGTTCGTCGCTTATTTCTTTTTAATTAGTGTAAATCAAACGTTTATCCTGATTATTTTTCCTTCACAGTAACATTGCTTGCTTACAGCACGGTATCACTCTGAACATTTTGATACTTTTTTTCCTTAGCCTTGGTAGTGCAATAAATGGAGAGTCGAAAGACCTGAGTTGAAAAGCACAACCTCCACTCTTAGATTTGTCTGGGTCCTTTGGTCTGTGTCTGCACTACCTAGTATTGTGGTCTCTGGCCACACATGGTTGTTGAGCACTTGCAATATGCCTAGAGTGACTGACTGAATTTTCTGTTTTATTTAAGTTTAATTAGGTGCATGTAGACAGTGACTACCATTCTAAACGACTCAGGTCTATAACATTCTCAAAATTGAGTCACTAGCAATTGTAGGTTGACAAATATATTATTCTGAACGTGCATGCCAGTCCTCTCTCCCCCAGCATGCACACTGTATTGATTATTAATTATTTTGATAAAGATTAAGGGACACATAGTAGGGTGGGAGAAGGGAGGGGTTCTTTTCATTCCTATTAGCTTTCCCTTTGTCCATCCTATGACTCCTGTCCATCTCACATCTTGCATGAGTTTGCTGTGGTTCTTCCAAGCCAAGAACTAAGCTTCCTTTCTTTTTGTTAATTTTTTTAGATGTTGATGAACATTTATTTATATGTGGTGCTGAGAATCAAACCCAGTGCCTCACACATTCCAGACAAGTGCTCTACCACTGAGCCACAACCCCAGCCCGCTCCCTTTCTTTTATTGAAATTGTAGCTTTGGCATCTTGGAGTACCAGCCCTTCTTGGACTCTGAAAGATTAACTGAATGTTGTTTCTCTCACTGTAGAACTCTGTTCCGGCCAAGATGTCTATTGGTGTGCCGATTAAAGTTCTGCATGAGGCCGAGGGCCACATTGTGACATGTGAGACAAACACGGGTGAGGTATACCGAGGAAAGCTCATTGAAGCAGAAGACAATATGAACTGCCAGGTACCCTGCTTTACATGAGGTTGTGAGGGAGGTGTGTTCCAGTATCTCAGAGGACAAAAGGGTGGTGGGTGATTAGAGGTTTTTATGAGGCTCTTCTCATTCATCAGTTATTTACTGAATGCCTAATGTGTGCTAGGCACTCATAGGCTCTCAGACTATATGCATGAACAGGAAACTCAGGGTTTGAGGCAGAAAAGCCATATATAAATTTGGAATTTTGGGCTGGGGATGTGGCTCAAGCGGTAGCGCGCTCGCCTGGCATGTGTGCGGTCCGGGTTCGATCCTCAGCACCACATACAAAACAAAGATGTTGTGTCCGCCGATAACTAAAAAATAAATATTAAAATTCTCTCTCTCTCTCTCCCCCCCCTCTTAAAAAAGATATAATAAATTTGGAATTTTGTCCTTTGTTTTCTCTATCCTGTAATCATTTTCTCCCATATTTTAAAGGGCTATTTTAGAGAAATGTTGCTGTTCCCTTTGGTAAACTCCTTCAGAGTCAGGGCTGTTATTCATTTTCCCCACATGCTTTGCAGTTGGCAAAATCTTCAGTACAGTGTGTTCTTACTTTTTTTCTTGGAGGAAGAAACTCATTTGATTATTGTAACTACCTTGTGAGGAAGCAAGTTTGATGATAATCTTGATATCCATAAAGTAGAGAAATGAGATTAAAGAATTGAGCTACTAGACATCATTCTGCTAATATATGACGGAAAAGCTTCCTGATGTGGAACCCTTCTCATAGCACTACTTTGTTTTTTGCATAGTCACATGAATTTTTTTTTTTTTAATATTAGTTGTTGATGGACCTTTACTCATTTAGTTATATACAGTACAGAGAATCAACCCCAGTGCCTCATACACGCTAGGCAAGTGCTCTACCACTGAGCCACAACCCCAGACCATAGTCACGTGAATTTTTATAGCATTACTTGATATGATCTTTGTTCTTTAAATCTGTGGTTAAGAGTTTGAGCTTTGGAATAAAAAATGTGAATTTTAATTCTAACTAGCTGACCTTAGGCATATGAATTGTCTGTTTCCTTTTCTGTAAAATAGAGATGGTGTTATTTGGGGGCTCTCATAGTTGGATGTATAAAAGTTTTATTCAGGAAATGTCATTAAAGGATAATAGAGCTAGGTATGGTGCCACACACCTATAATCCTTGCAACTTGGGAATCTGAGGCAAGGCAACTGCAAATTTGAGGCAATTTAGTGTTTCAAATAAAAAATAAGATCTAAAGATGTAGTTCTGTGGTAAAACAACTGAGTTCAATTCCTAAGAACACAAATAAAAACACAAAAGGATAATGGAACAAATAAGCATGAGTAGGCAAGAGAGTTTTCAGTCTGAGGTGTTAGTTTGACCAGGGAAAAGAGGATTGAGCAGAAAGAGCCTCATACTGCAGCATAGCTCTGAAGAAGTCTCAGCCAAACGGATTGCTTCTATGAGAAGTTTAGAATAGAACAGAAATGGTCTGATTCTAGTACTCCTGCCATGATTAGTATTTGGCCAAGAGTTTGTGGAGAGAGAGACCACAGGGTGAATGCTGTAGTGAATCCCACAGGTGGCAGCTTGAGGCTGTCAGGTCCCTGTACTATTCAAAGTCTGTTGTCTCTTGAGGGAGATATGAGCAGCACACTTCCAAGACTGTTACAAGGATAATACCTAAATCTCATGGTTGTTATATATATATCAGATGAGTTATGTGTGTGCAGCAGGTAGCTCAGTGCCTCACATGTTGTTATTGTTCAACGTAAGGTACCTATTACTGTTCTCTAGGTTGGAGAGGTAAAGAACCTTATCCTGGATTAAAATGGGGGTCAGGGGTTCAGACTGTCTATTACTTTGCAGTATTCATTCATTTATTTGTGATTTTTTTTTCTGTACCTTTGAGTCTATAATCTTCCTGCCAGGTTGAACACCTCAGGCATTTCCTTTGAATGCAAGGAGATTGACATCAGTAACTGAGGTTAATCTCCTCAGTGTTATTGTGAGAGTTCAGGCTCCTATGCTATCTGTTCTTCAACAGGAGGGTCTGAAAGTTTGCACCTCTCTTTGTGCTATAAAGGGCCTGGCCTCTGTTACTCTTTTACTTTCATAAGTGCAGTCTTTTAGCTTAAGAGATCCTCATCTGTTTCAAGGCACTTTAGTTTGGAGAGTAGAATGCAAGACTTAGGGTAGTGACTCTTAATGTGCTTATTGAAATACTTGGGTTTTTTTAGTTAATTAATTTGGGCAATGTACTGAATCTTCAGGGCCTCAGACTTACAGACCGTTGGTATTAGACCTGAAATCACCTTGCAGTCTGCCATCTAGTATGACTTGGGATAAACTTTGGACCTCTTTCACACACTATTTCATTCTCCACATCAGGGATAAGAACCATAGTACAGAGGAAAGGAGAGATGTGTGTCAAATGTTGGATGGGGGGCCAGTTACCTGCTTCCCTGCCTGTATTAGTTTTCTAGATCTACCATAATAAAGTTATACAGACTGGATGGTGTAAACAACTGAAATCTGTTTTCTCACCTTTCTAGAGGCTAAAAGTATGAGATCAGTGTATTGATGGATTGGTTTCTTGATAGGGCCATGAGGGAAGGATCTGTTCCAGGCTCTCTTCAGCTGTGTAAGGCATCTTCTCCCATGTGGTCTTTCCTCTATAGCATCTCTGTCCAAGTTCCCCTCCCCCCCTTTTTAAACTATTTTTATGTGGTGCTGAGGATCGAACCCAGGGCCTCACACTTGCTAGGCAAGCTCTCTACCGCTGAGCCACAACCCCAGCCCCAAATCCCCTCTTAATAAGGACACCAGTGTATGTGTTAAGGTCCACCCTAATGACCTCATTTTTTAACTTAATTGTAAACATGATCACATTCTGAGTTACTGGGGATTAGGGCTTCAATGTGTGGATTTTTGCAGGGACACAAGTCTCTAACCCTATCCATGTCAAAATGATGAGGCTTCATTGGGTCTACCAGAACTTAAGCTCACTGAATGTAGCAACATGTATTTTGGGGTTTAGTGTTTGCCTTATAAAAACTTTCAAGAAGAATTAGAGCTACTATATAGCTCGGTGTTAGATCCCTTGAATGCATGCACAAGGCCCTGGGTTTGATCCACAGCACCATAAAATCATAATAAAAAAACCCACCTTCCAATTTAAGGGTTTATTGTGGGAACCTAACGTGGCT